GGCCGCCACGTGTCACACTGAGGTCACTAGCATCATACCCGGATAAGCGCCTCGTAGAGGGACCAATACGAAGAGCTCGGGAACAAAGACTGCTGGACCTTAAATACGAGGCTGCGAACAGAAGGCGCACTCTGTTGCCGAGACGAGATACTGCTATCGACACGAGAGCTGTTGCCCGACACGAGGGCGCGCTGCCGACGACAGAAGACCAAGCTGCCGACAGGGACGCTGAGAAGTTGAGGTACACGCGCAGAAGCTGGTATTCATACAGAGACTGCTACAGTAAACTGTTCTCTACTACCCTGTCTGTCTTCTCTTTCTAACATACAACTGGGGGACATAACACTTACATAGGAACGAATTACTGATCCACAACGAACGAACATGGGAAGGGAAAATGTATCATGTTATTATTGCGTAGGTCCCTATTATAACTTCAAACTAGACTGATATAGACACGCATTTGAATCTCGGGCGATCCACACCTGGGATTGGGTATGACTGGCTGATGATGGTGTCTAATAAGCCAGAAATGGCCGTTCTGGTCTCCCCTGCCTTTGTCGGTTCCATTTCAACCACCACTCGTCTACAAAAACTTGCCTAAATACCACTCATCTGTCGGCGGTCGAAAACACATGTACATTCGGTAGGACAAGGAAAGGCTGTTGAAGTGGTGGTTGAGGGTGTAGTCAACTAGCTGCATTATAGCAAATCGATATGTACCTCGGAAACCAGCAACGCCCTTTGGTCAGAAAATAGCATTGCCCGTACACATCTGAAAAGCCAACGTTCAACCTCACAAAACTACGGCAGATCAAGAAAACGGAAGCTCTAAAAGGGAGAAAGTTGGTCTCGCTTTGAAGCTCGGATAGGAGGAGAGGGCCGAAGTCTATGATTACTGGTTAAACGGGCAGTCTGTAAGAAGGCCGTAATAATTCTTGAATTAACCCAGCAGCGCCGAATAGCCGGAGTAAACACATGATAGGTAGCTTGAGTTTGATTCTGCCACCACGACGACGACTCCATCCACTAACCCCGTAAATTGACGGTAAAGTTAGATAGAGAAGGCGGCCAAAATTACTGCGCAAAAGTAGCGACTACAGTGGAGTGGTTTGAAAACTCCGGGACACCCCCATCTGCGCATGTCTCAGACTATCCTACCATTACGTACGATTAAGGATTATCGATAGAATCCGAAACATCAGGAAAATAAAACTCTTGTTCCAGCGATCGCATCTTCTGCTTTTTCTTAACACTTGAAAAAATTTAAAACTTTTTAGGCAAGTCCATAAATGGATCGCTGTTCTCTCTATTCCTGTTGGCATTGAGAACGGAGATCCAATCGCTGCAGCATTGAGGTGTCATCGGACATCGTTTTTTTCATGAGGTGAGCAAGGTTGCTGCCGAATGGACAGGGTAAGGATGACATTGTCACCCGAATTGACGCAGCTCGACGAGTTTTCTCCAGCCTTCGAAGGTGCCTATGGACCCGACCCGATATTTCTATCTCCACAAAGGTCCGCGTGTACCGTCCATCTGTACGGTCTGTTCTTTTATACGGATGCGAATGCTGGGCTATGCACGTGGAAGATGAACAGAAACTGGAAGTCTTTGACCCCTACTGATGGAGGACCATCCTTCGAGTGAGGTACACCGACTTCGTCTCAAGTGAGACAGCCCGCACTCGCTGCGACAAAATCACAAGGATATCCAAGGTAGTCCACGAAAGACGACTGAGGCGGTTTGGAATGTTCTTCGCCGTCAACCTCACGAGCTAAGTGTTACTGCCCTCGACCCTAAACCGTTACCTAATTGGAAACGTCGAAGCGGGCGTTAGCTCAAAACCTGGCTGGGCTCAGTCCGTCAGGACATGGGACTGGTTCTTGGACCTTCGGTATTCGGTCTCCGGCGCTGGGAAAGAAAATGGCTCGAACTGTCCAGGTCTGCTGCCATGGATCGTCGCGAGTGGAGAAGCACCGTATGGGACATCATCGAGGCCGGCGAGATCAGTCATGATCGCAGCCGCAGCAAGTACAAATACTGCAGCACTCGGATCCACCCACCGTGAGTCTCCGTAGCTGACAATTAAGCTATACATTGGGAACAACAAATGTGGCGCAAAGCGTCGCGCACACCTTCAATTTACATAGCAACAACTTTATGTTAGTTTATTTTATTTGGTCTATTCAACTTGCTGATATTTAAGTTCAGTTTTCGGATTGGTTTTCAGTTCATTATTATGCTAGTTGTTTTTATTTTAGTCTTAGATTAGTTCTTAGTGAGTTTAGCTTGCTTTACTTTCTGTTTTTTAGTTAGTTAGTTGACTTTAGTTTACGTTAGTTATTATTTAATTTAGTTAGTTCCCAATATTTGCATAATTCCACATTGTAATTATGGCGCGCTTTTCGTTGAAAAAGATTAGATCATTCAAATAATTATTCCTGACTTTTTTTCTACTTTTATGAACTTTATT